GTAATTGTGAAAAATTAATGTACTTGAGTGAATACTTTTTTTCAAACATGTGTAAAGGAGTAAGAACATCTAGAAGTACATCATTGTTTCATTTCATAATGGCAAATGTACAAGTGAATGTTCAGTTTATTCCAAATTCTCAAGGTAGTCAGAGCCTTTGTTACCAAGGTCATAAATTTAGGGTTAAGAGTAGACGAGCTGCCAAGGTACACTGGAGATGTTGCAAGGCCTCACAATCCTCCAACAGAAAGTTGAAGCTCTCGACCTAGAACTTCGACCCAGATCTGTGTTTACAGACTTTGAGAATGCTGTGAAACATGTGTTTGCCTGTGAACTTAAAGGTTGCTTTTTTCATTTCCGACAGGCAGTTTGGCACAATGCTCGGAAGTGTGGTCTGCAAACTGCCTTTGCAAACAATCCCGATGTTAACCTTCTTGTGAGACGAGCATCAGCCCTCCCTCACCTCAGACCTTGTGATATAGATGACAATTGGTGTAATGCCCTAGAATCAGCCAACACCAAAGATCCTACCATCCTGTAATTTGCTGATTATGTGACTGAACAGTGGGTCGAGGGAGAGGATAGAAATATTTGGAACCATTTTGACACCTTGGGTCCCAGGACCACTAACCATGTAAAGGGGTGGCACTCCAGAATCAACAAAATGAAAACCAACCGTCCCAACATTAACCAATTTATCCGTTTGATTCAATCTGAACAAACGATGACGGAAGTTACAATAAACCAATTGGAATCGGGTGGTAGAAAACAACCCAACCGCCAACTGGAACATGAACTCGATCGCCTAAAAATGTGCCTGGTTTCTGGGACAAAATCTGTAATAGAATACGGACATTCCGTTTCCCATCTTGTTGGGTTGTAAATCATTTTATGTCTGAAATCAATCAATTGAAGAAATTTATAAATTGTGTTCAGTGCTCCTATTCCACTGGACCAGAACTTGCACGACCGCACGACAGCAAAAACAGAATGATCTAGAATATTCTCAGAAAGAAACTGTGAGAGAGACAACTTCTAGGAAGCAAATCCTACTTGTGGTGGATACTAAGGTAACTTGATAACTACTCTGTAACTTTCCAAAAACAATTCGTGCAAAATTATCCGTGAAACTAGCATTCGTGTCCTTGTCCAATTTCTTTTCATAAAGATTTTTAAAAATATTTTTTTTTTAAATTACAAAATAGCAAAAGGCACCACTTCAGCATGTGACTGATAGATTCGCCAAGTTTCGATCAAATACACTGATGCCCCGGAAAAGGAAATGATTACGGACAGACAGACGAACAGACAGACTGGCTGATCACTATATCCCCCCGCATTATATGCCGGGGGGATAAAATGGTAAATTTATAACATTTTTCACTAATATGATTTTATTTCACTAAATATACTTAAATCCTTGCCAATTTGTACATGCATATTGTTTTACTAGGTAACCAGCATGTATAATGACTACAAGTTTCTGGTACAGCACTACAGAAACTCCACACAGGGGTGAAAGGAGGAGTGAGTGGAGGAGTGAGACGGATCTCATCTGAGGGTCAGGCAGATCTAAACAGAGGAGGAAGGAATTGGTGAACCAAGACATATGACTTGACCCAGATGAGGCGGATCTTGTCTACCGGCGAAGTAAATATCAACAGTATCTTGATAAGAAGTGACTTGACCCAGTTGAGGCAGATCCTGTCTGGATTTACTGCAAATACGACACTTCCAATAAAAAATTACACTATTTTTATTTTATTTCAGTACCATTATATATCATTGGGTGTGTCTTGACCAAATCACCGGTCGATTCCAAGAAAACGTGTGTACAGCTGATTGCTGTTTCCGGCTTAGTTTACGAGAAAATACACAAGGTAATCTTAATCCCTGGATATAAAACAATGCCTAGCAGAACAAAAAATACTATTTAAACGGTAAATCAACATATCTGGTGATTTTTTATCTCAAATTCACCCGTTCGTTTGCCGGACTTTGCTGAAGGGGAACGGTGTATTTTCGAGTTACGCAAACAACTGGCAGAACGGGGCGTGAGGGTACCAAATAATTGGCCAAGGAAAAGCTTGCTGCAGTTGTTACAAGAAAATCAACAACAACGGCCAGTAGCAGCGACGGTGACCTCGTCTGACAGTTACGGTCCGAGTGCCATCTCGTCTCCGGCGGCTTCACTTCCGGGGGTGTTCGAAGCCAGCATATATCACAACAGTAATCCAGATGCCCTCGTTAGTGGGACCACGCTACCCAACAGTGTCGTGTCGGACTTCATGGATAATGGAACCAATTCCGTGTCGCCTGTACCTGTTTACAACGGGAACTTGCCGAGTTAAAAAACATGATAGCGAACATGACCAGTCATCACACAGTGCCCACCGATCACGTGGCTACAAGCCTACCGGATCACCACAGCCATGATGTGCCGTCGGATTCTTTGCCCCACATTCACTCTGTTGCTCCAGCGCTCAAGAAGAAGATCAAAGACGGCAAGTATTGCAACCAGGCATTGTTATTGATACCCAACAAAGACACTCTAGACGCAAGAATGCCGAATATGATGGCAATGTATACCAATTAAAAGAGGATGCTAGGTTAAATCGTACACTCACTCTGGCAGAATTCATCCAGGCCTTTGGCATTTATAAGGACATTCTTTGCAACACCAATAATGCAAAACGTAAACAATTGGACGGACATGACCAAACTGTCATTGAACTGGCCATCCAGTTACACCTACATGTTAAAACTACAATAGATGGCATTACTACAATGTCAGTTTCTATACCATGTACATTGTACAATATCTGAGATATGAATGTATATATTTTACTTTAGCTGGAATATGTGCAGAATACAGAATTTTGCATCTTTAATTTCAAAGATTTCTTGGGGAGATGACTCCCCACTCCCCATGTGGTCAGGGTTGCATCCCCTTTCGCTGATCTAACATCTCTCTGTTTTGGGGAAGTGTGAGATTTAGTATCTCGATAGCACTAAAATATCCCAGGAATATCCCTGTTTGTATGATTATTAAGATAAATTTCCTTTTTTTTAAGGTGCAACAAGTACAAGGAATTTTGTCAAGACATGCCAGGAAGAGATCAATTTTAAAACTTTACCAGAAAAGGACATTCCGGAACTCCTAAACAGACTTGCAGAGGAAAGGGAGAGGAGGGGGGAAAAGGGGTATGCTCAAAATTGAAAAGTGTGCTGGCCGAGGAGCAAAGTCAGTGTCCAGTTGGTTTAACCTCGGTTTGCCGGTTATCTCCCAAAACCCCTACATCCCATTTCCCCTACAACCCAGTGCCCTACAATTAGTTAAAATAACACGCGGCATTTACCTGTCTGGCATTATGAACTCACCTAAAGGAGAGATTAATGTCTGGAGTAGAGGTAGTAGAAACAAGTATTTGTCACAGAGTGACGAAATATCCCCCGCCTGTACACCATAGTACCAAATATGAAGACAATCCAGCGATTAGTTCTTGAGATATTGTGGCAACACCGTTTTCCAACTCCAAAAACAGATTTGCCTGCTGTGACCTTGAAAATGGGGTCAAGGTCACCAAATCTGACAGGTGTATGCGGTGTCTGTATATACACTATAGTTCCAAATATGAAGACAATCCAGCGATTAGTTCTTGAGATATCGCGGCAACACCGTTTTCTAACTCCAAAAGCAGATTTGCCTGCTGTGACCTTGAAAATGGGGTCAAGGTCACCAAAACCGACTGGTGTCTGCGGTGTCTGTATATACACCATAGTTCCAAATATGAAGACAATCCAGTGTTTAGTTCTTGAGATATCGCGGCAACACCGTTTTCCAACTCCAAAAGCAGATTTGCCTGCTGTGACCTTGAAAATGGGATCAAGGTCACCAAAACCGACTGGTGTCTGCGGAGTCTGTATATACACCATAGTTCCAAATATGAAGACAATCCAGTGTTTAGTTCTTGAGATATCGCGGCAACACCGTTTTCCAACTCTAAAAGCAGATTTGTCTGCTGTGACCTTGAAAATGGGATCAAGGTCACCAAAACCGACTGGTGTCTGCGGAGTCTGTATATACACCATAGTTCCAAATATGAAGACAATCTAGTGTTTAGTTCTTGAGATATCGCGGCATCACCGTTTTCCAACTCCAAAAGCAGATTTGCCTGCTGTGACCTTGAAAATGGGATCAAGGTCACCAAAACCGACTGGTGTCTGCGGAGTCTGTATATACACCATAGTTCCAAATATGAAGACAATCCAGTGTTTAGTTCTTGAGATATCGCGGCAACACCGTTTTCCAACTCTAAAAGCAGATTTGTCTGCTGTGACCTTGAAAATGGGATCAAGGTCACCAAAACCGACTGGTGTCTGCGGAGTCTGTATATACACCATAGTTCCAAATATGAAGACAATCCAGTGTTTAGTTCTTGAGATATCGCGGCAACAAACAGGTGGGACATACGGACGGACGTACGTACGGACGGTCGTGAATACTATATCCCCCGCTTCGCGCTTTCGCGCGGCGGGGGATAATGAAAGGGGTAGAGCTTTAGGGGATAAGGGGACTAAAAAAAAAAGAATTAATTTTAATAAGAGAATTTTTTGAAATTACAAAAATAACAATAGGAAGAAACAATTATTACACTGAGAAACTGAGATGAGACGATTTACAGTTGAGATGGCTAGGTTTAGTATATAGATACTTGAAACTGACTAGCATGACATCAACATGGCTGGTCTTCGCAATGTTGAGTGTGTTATGTCACAGAGAGGAAAGCCCCAAGTCCTATTTGATGGTTATCTTCACACTAAGAACATCGAGAGACTCACTAGCGTACACTGGAAGTGTGTCAAGTCCACATGTAGAGGAAGACTCACGACAGTAGGAACCGTGATGAGGAATGCTACAGAGCATAACCATGCCCCTGAGGATAGCCAGAAGGTCCGGTTTATGAGCACCCTGAGGAAGAGAGCGAGAGTCAACCCCGATGCACACCCTCTACAACGACAAACTCTCCAACTTGAACAACGACGAGACAGGAATGATGCCATCCTTCCCCACCATGAGCAGCGCGTGGTACCGGCACAGACAGAAGACGATTCCTGTTTTGCCACAGACAAGATCGGAGGTGGATCTTCAGGATTCCTGGACGCAGACAGCAGATGGACGACCCTTCCTCCTGTTTGCTGACGGTGATGATGACAAGATTCTGGCGTTTGGCAGTCTAGAGAGTCTCGAGGCCTTGCAGTCATCTGAGATTCTATACATGGGTGGAACGTTCACTGCCTGCCCTGGACTGTGGAATCAAGTGTACATCATCCATGCAAGACTCGGAGCCACGACCTATCCCCTCATCTTCGCCTTACTCCCCGACCGTCAGACAGACACCTACTCAAGACTTTTCATGCTACTCAAGGATGAAGTTCAACAGAGACTAAACAGACCACTTGCCCCGTCATGCATCCAGACAGACTTTGAGATGGCTGCTATTCGTGCTGTCCAAGTCGTGTTTCCTACTGCCGATGTGAAGGGATGTTTCTTCCTTTACTGCCAGGCGATATGGAGGAAGGTCCAGCATCTGGGACTAGCTGTTGCGTATCGAGAAGATCCTGAAGTCTGCAAGTGGATAAGAAGAGCAGCTGGCCTACCCCTACTCCCAAAGAACAAGATCCAGGACACGTGGGTTGACGCAATGGACAACACACCAGATGTACCAAGAGCTGTCGCCTTCAACGACTACATCCTCACTACCTGGGTCGACCACGGAGCACGATTCCCCCTACCACTGTGGAACCATCACAGTACAACAGGTCCCAGGATGAACAACAACCTGGAAGGCTTTCATAACCGACTCAACCGAGGTCTCCCTCACTGACATCCCAACATCTACCGATTTGTGGAGGTAGTCAGGAAGGTGGAACAGGCAGAACGAGCTAAGATTTTACGGTTGACTTTGGAGCAGCTCCAAGAGGCAGGAAGAGAGTGTTCAGAGAGGTGGAGAACCGTCTCTGCAGCCTGAAGGACGAGTTGAATAGAGAGGTGAAATCCCCAATGCAGTTTTTAGATGCGGTTGGCCATCTCCTCAGGCTGGGATAAAGAGTGAATTGAACATTTGAGATGAAATTTATTATAATGTCAATGTATTATGAATTTTGAAAAATGAACATTTTGTTATAATGTATTATGAATTTTGAATAATATCGTAATCGTAATTAAATATTTATCTCAATCTATTCGTGTTTCTTGGGTTGTTCCATTGTATGAAATAGGTAACAGACTAGGGATTAGCAGTGCCATGGACCGTGAACTTTGTTGTCTTAAGCTGTAGGGGAAATGGGATGTAGGGGTTTTGGGAGGTTACCGGTTTGCTGGCACCCTGAATGTTATGATAAGAGATTAAATGTGCCAGCAATTCAGATGTTTATCTAAAGGATTATAGGGACCAGTGAACCCTGCTTCATTAACGGTGACACGAATTGGTGAACACTTTTCAGTATAATCAGTGTCAAACGTGAGTTTCATATCATGTTGAACGAATTTATAAATCATTTAATCAACTACGGCTATAAAATGACGAACCAGGAACCAGTTGCAGTTTGTACTCCAAGCGAGCAACACCTCCCAAGCCAGCACAGAGCATTGCCTGATAGCCAGCCAAGGAGAAATCCATCATCGGTAATTATCACGTTATCCTTTCAGCCTTATTCACATACTCTTAAAATCACTCTCATCGTTTGTTTGTTTGTTGTTTAACGCCGAACCTAGCAATATTCCAGCTATAGGACAGCGGTCTGTAAATAATCGAGTCTTGGCCAAGCGAGCAACACCTCCCAAGCCAGCACAGAGCATTGCCCGATAGCCAGCCAAGGAAACTCCATCATCGGTAATTATCACGTTATCATTTCATCCTTATTCACCTACATCACTCTCACCGAATTAATCACAAAACCCCTAAATCCTTAATAACAACAACACTCAACTCTTATAAATAACCAACACCTTATCCTCCCCCATATCCCTAACACAGCTCGCACTCATTTCTACTCGCTACCCACGCCCACCACTCAAACACACCCTTTGACCCAACTCCTAAAAACAAAAAAACAGCTAATCCCCCCTTCTTCTTAACACAACGCACGCTCTTTCCTACTCACCACCCACGCCCACCACTCACATACCTCCACTCCTTCGACTAAATATCTCCTAATCCCCGCTTTCCACTTGTCTCACCTAATCCCAGCCTTCCAGCAACAAAATAAATCTTTAATAATTAATCCATTTCACAAACCCTCCTACTAAAACCAACAACAAATAACAACCGCAACCTCCTCCGCCTGCTAAACACAACTCACCAAGTAAAAACAACAAACCAACTCACCTCCCCAAAACACCACTCCCACTCCACCACCACCCACCACAACACACGCTCTCCAACTCTCCAAACAACATGACTGACACCCGCAACGCCACACTCGCAGACATGCCAGCTCCTAACTCACCCACGCCTGCGGAAGCGCACAACACTTCCGGGAGGTCACTCGAAAACATCGTCCCGACCGAGTATGGCGAAAACACGACACACACCACCCCCACCAAACCAGCTAACTCGCCACCTCAAAACACCAAAAAACGCAAACTCGACACATCCACTCCACCTCCATCGCCCACGCCCTCCCCGGCCGCCTTCCTCACCACCTTCGCCCTCTACTTCTTCTCAGCAGGCTCAGGCACCACTCTCTCACTAGAACTTTCGGCAGATAAAATAGGACTTTGGTTTAAAAGAGAAAAAATAAACTACAACAATATTAAAAAAGCCAACAAAGGATACCAGATAATCTTCCCTAACCGAGAATCTTACAACGCAGCAAATAAAATAACTCAAATATTCCACGTCACAGTAATCAAACAAACACCTAATTGGCAACAATATACACGAGGCGTAATTAGGGTTAACCCAAGGGAAACAACTGAGGACTTACAATTATACTCTCTAGAAGCTAACATAAACCAAGACCAAAACCCTCAACCCCTAATCACCAGCACGCGTAGAATAACCTCAACTAGAAACGGAAAAACGGTCCCAACCTCCATTGTCATAATCAACTTCAAAAAGACCGCTAAATTCCCTGAAGCCCCCAAACACATATCCTTCGGAGCCCACACCAACTTAGAAGTCAAACCCTATATAAAGCAGGTTAAGCAATGTACAAAGTGCCTCAAATACAACCACACTGCCTCCCAATGCACATACCGTAAAACTAAATGTAAAAAATGCGCACAAACAGACTGCCCAGGCACATGCACACCCTGGTGCATCCACTGCAAATCCACCCAACACACTTCACTCTCAAACCAATGCCCATACAGACACACACTCACCCAGCAGGCCAACAAACACATAAACATAGATACGGCTAAAATCCAAACACGAAAATTTGCTACACCTGCATCTAAACCACTCCTCCCTACACCACACCCAAACACCATCCCACAAACAAACACCACACCCATAACCGACAGCTCTGTCTGGGGCCCCTACCGAGAAACCGCACCCACCTCACACATACAAGCAGCCACTCAACCAACCACGAACCCTCCCACATCTCACATAGCCAAAACATCAACCCCCGCATGCAAAACAAACCTCAAAATGACCACCACAACACGACCCTCATCCAAGCACCCTACAGCCCATATGGTAACAACGCTCTCCCACAAGCAAGCACAACAACAAAACACAAACACTAAGAAATCATCAGCTACACCCATCCAACAAACACCTTCACAATCCTCCACATCACATGCCTCCCCCATGGAAACTCAATCAGCTAAACCTAATCTAACCGATGACGAAGATTTCTCCACTACTGAGGAAACAATAGACACTACTCCAACTAAAACAAACCAAACTCCCCAACCAGCCAACACCCAAAACCTAAATAACCTCACCTTACTCCTAGCATACATGTATAGTCAAAACTCACCAAAAGCTAGCATGAAATCCTTCTACAAAGTAGCTTTCAATCTAAAATTAACCGATCTTCCCTTCTTCCTCTTTAACCTCCATCTAAAAGAACTCACCGAATAAAATAAAAAATAAAAAATAAATCATCAATCACCCGAACCCAATATTCGAAGGACTAAATATTTTTCAGTGGAACGCCAACGGACTCACCTCCCACGGCCATGAACTAAAAACTAAATTTAAACTAAATAAAGGCCCTCACATTGCTTGTATACAGGAAACCAAATTCTCAAAAAAATCCAAATTCACACTACCTAACTACAACTCAGTTAGAACTGACAGAGCTAAACCGAAAACAAGAAGAGCCGCAGGAGGACTAATCATATTTATCAGGGAAGATATAAATTACGAAGAAATAAAAATAGACACGCCAAACCTAGAAGCCAACGGCATTAAAATCACATTAAATAACCGAAACATAAACATCATAAATATTTACCACTGGGCGGAACAAAAAGTCCAACCTGAGGATCTGAACAAACTACTCCAAATAAGCGATAAATCTACTATATTCCTAGGAGACTTTAACGCTCACCATCCTACATGGAGCATAGGTGATAAAATAGATAATCATGGCAAATTAATCTCCGAATGGATAGAAACAAACGACCTAGTACTCCTTAATAGCAACCAACCCACGAGGTACGATCAGATAAACCAAAAAATGTCGGCTATCGACCTAACCATATGCACCGCAGATCTAGCCCAAAGTACTCAATGGGAAGTGCACGACGTCCCGCTAGATAGTGACCACTTCCCCATAAACATAACTATAGGAAATACAAACGTACCAATCCAAACAGAAAACCAAGAACCAAAATTCCATTACAATAAAGCTAACTGGGACCAATTCCAAGATATCTGCAACGAAGCTAACTTAAACGAAATAGAAAATAATGATCCAGAAACCTATTGTAAAAACCTAACAGACTATATAATAAACGCAGCCAAAACCTCCACCCCCTTCAAAACATCTAAGACAGGCAAACCGACGGTACCATGGTGGAATGAGGAAATAGAACAGACTAGACGAAAACGTAAATCAGCCTTCAATAAAGCAAAACGCGACTACAAATATTTAAACATAGCCCACGAACTAAACCACCAGGTTCAAAAACTAGTCCAAATAGCCAAAAGTAGAGACTGGAAAAAATTCTGCGAAGGTATAAATAACCGTACAGATGCCAGAATGGTCTGGCGCAAAATCCACGCCATTAGAGGCTTAAAACGACATAAGAAAACCCCTAACATTGACAACTCAACCAACCCCGCCCAAAAAGCAAATAATCTCGCCAACCACTTTTCGGCCGTTAGCAGTAACACCAACTTCAGTAAAAAATTCCAAGATAAACTTAAAACAGAAAACAAACCCACAAAAGAACCAAACAATAACAATCTAGAAATAAATCAACCCTACACAATGGAGGAGCTCCTCTACGTAATCCAAAACAGGAAAAAGGGCACAGCCCCAGGATTAGACCTAACTTCTTACCAAATAATTAAAAAACTCCCCCTAAAACTACTCCAGGCACTACTCAAACTATACAATCTCATCTACCTAAACGGACAGGTTCCTACTCCCTGGAAACAGGCCCTAGTCATACCAATCCCTAAACCTAATAAACCAGCTAATCAAGCCAACTCATATAGACCAATATCCCTAACTTCAAACTTATGTAAAGTAATGGAATCAATGGCTAAAAATAGATTACAACATTACTTAACCCAAAATAACATCATAAACCCAGATCAAAGCGGTTTCACTCAACCCTAGATAACCTCGCCCGACTAGAACAAGATATTAAGACAGGACAACTAAATAAACAATATACCACAGGCATCTTCTTAGA